TGGGGAGTTGGTATATATATATATATATAAAACACAGCAGCTGTAGAGCATGTCCATCATCACAGAGATTTCTACAGAACAGTGCTAGACTAGACTAACTGGCAGCACAAAAAGGTCTGGGAAAGAATCGCATTACATTTGTGGCCTTCAATCATGCCTATTGCTGTTTTCTCTTTTCTCCTGACCAGTGCAATAAATTATTTCCCTTAGCTTCTTGAGGAACTTCTGTCCATCTCCACGTGGATATCAGAATATTTCTTTGAACTTTACAGTGCTACCCTTGAATGAAATTGGACTTATTTCTACAGTATTCCTTCCCAACATGATCCATGGAATCATTGCTCTGTTTGTTTTGAAATTTGGCTAACATTTGTGATTTCATAGTCACATTTCTAAACTCTCTTGCTTCCCACAACTGGCTTTGTTTTCATGGCATCTGCAGGACTTCTCAGATTATAAAACATGGGTTATACTTAATTGCTATGATTTATTTCTTGCTTCATGTCATTAAGGATGACCTGATTGTGTCTAACAACAATGCATGCACGTCCCCTTAGGAGAGTGTCTCTGAGTGAGTTCAGAGTACAGAAATTTTTCATTATATTCTTTACATGTCTTTTTTCACTGGGTACTATTATCATTATTGTTGTTATTGTTATTATTCCTTTGGTAATTTAGTTGCTAATTATTGATGGGCAGCAGCTAAGAACTGATCCAGCTACAGTGATGGATGAAGTTCAGAAGTTTCTAGGAGTCTCTCCTCACTATAATTACTCAGAAGCTTTAACGTAAGTTCATATTCCAATTCGTTTATTGAAGTTTCAGTAGAAAAATGACTTTAAAGAAACAGTATCTTGGTAATATGATTGTCAGATTACTATTCCTTTATACTGATATTTTCCAATTGGACATTAGCCACTTGGCAAAGAACTTTTAAACAGCGAGACAGGAAATAGCCTACATATCTGTTGTTCCATAACTACTCAAAGATTTCCCCTGGAAGGAAAGTGAAAAAATATAGCTGTGAATCTTTATTTGCTGGATCAGATTTGCTTATTAGTTTCTGTTTGTAATACATAATAAATATATTCATCCTGGGTAATTTATACATATAATTATTGCATAAAGAAACCATGCAATATTTAACCATCTGCATCTGGTTTATTTCACTTAGCATTATGGTCTCAAGGTGCATTCATTTTCTCAAAAATGACTCAGCTTTACCTTTCTTTATGGCTGAATAATATTCCACTGCATATGAATACCACATTGTCTTTATCCATTCATAGGCATATAGGCCACATCCAAACTTTAACTATTATGGATCGTGCTGCTATAAACATAGGTATGCATGAGTGTAAATCAAAACCAACAACTAACCTTAAAAGAAACTACAGTACTTTAAATATGTTGTTAAGAGATAGACTTGGGCCGGGGATTTAGCTCAGTGGTTCTGTCGCCTGCCTGGCAAGTGCAAGGACCTGAGTTCGATTCCCAGTACCAAAAAAAAAAAAATAGATTTAACAAACAACAATGGGACCTCTTAGATGAATGAAGAGGAAATTAACTAGGGGATTTAGGAACTGATTTTTGCACAGTTTTCAGAAACAATGTGATACAAGAAAGAGTGCAGTGGGTGACTGAATGGGCAAAGAGGGATGTATTATTTTTTCTCAAATTTATGGATGCTTCGTCTTTACCCACTATAAATATGACCCTGTCATCATCTTCAGAGTCCTTAGCAGTTACAGCACTGGTGTGGTTTTGCTGTTATTGATGGATTTTTTTTCTGGTTTCTTCTGCTTTTCTTAAGATAATTGTCCCATCAAGGGCACAGCTAAGAGAGTAGCTCTCTGGACTGTGCATATGTCTGAATGAGTGTCTCCTTGAATTTTATTGCCCTATGCCTCTTAACTCACTCTAAACCTGGCTCTGTATTTATAAATAAGAATTCCCTTCAGTAACTTTAAATAACATCTTCTTACACTGTCCATTTGCAGTGGCTGGCAATTGGACTAATGAGGGTTGTTGCTGTATTTCTATCTGACATGACGACCAAAAGATACCGATTTGGATGGCCTGTTTACCTTACTATCAACATAAACATTTTTTTTAATTTTAGAGCTCATGGACTGGGCCTTAAACAAACTGAAAAACGACTGTTTTATGAAATTCTTCCTCTGTATTTTTCAGTATAAAATAGTTCCATAGATCAACTGGTTTTTCCTTCTTTTTTACTCTTTATCCTGTATCAATTTAGAAAGTGAGAGGAAGGTGTCGTCTACCTTTCAACATCCCTTGCAGTGATGGATTGGCAGGGAAAAAAATCAAACATGTCTTATATCTTGTAAAAATCATATGTAAAGACATGTGAGAGTCATTTGGGTATAAAGGACAAAGGAGTAGGTGAAACTCTGGAGTTTGAGCTTACTTTCTGAGAGCGATTTACTTTGTTACTATTAACATACTGATCCCTGTTTTATATACAACTAATGTGTCGGAATTTTGTAGATCTTAGTTCAAGTACTAACAGACACTAGTAGTAAGTACTTGAAATTCAACTTCGCCTTAAGAAAGATGAGTGATTTTAGTTTGCAGCTACAAATTCAAGTCTACTTTCTGCTATATATCTTTTTAAGCATCTCTTAGAAAAGGGAGCTTTTATTTTTTTAAAGTTTTCTATTTCAAGTGGGCTTATCTTTGAGTCTTTTATATAGATTGCATGGCATGCCACTGTATTTCAGAAAAGAAGTGGAGTATTCTATAAAGACATCATCTCTTTTTCTTATGGAATGGTCCTTGACCTGCATGCTGTGTATTTGTCCCTTCTGTATCTAACTCAGCAGCAAACTTTTTACTCATCTCCACTGCTGAGAAAAGGCAATGTAAACTTAAGAGAATTAACCTCAAAGAAGCATACAATATACAAAGAACTGTGGGTAATTTTGCACCTGGGATGTATCTAGCTGAAATTACCCATTGTATGATTCTTTTACTTAGTTGGAGGCTCAGTGGGCAAAGTAGCAAGATAAGGTTTGTGTAGTCCCTGAAACAGCAGTTTCTGGTCCAGAAGAGCTACCCAGGCTCTCACCTGCTGATAGAGATAATGTGCTTCCATTCAGCGTCTTTTTTATATTTTCTTGTCAGTCATCAGTTGACCTGACATACCTTGTAAAAACCAGCAGCACATTTGCTGTAGGATATTAGGAAGTTTTATGTTACTGTCTTAGGTTTAAATAACCTTCCTTCGACCTACACCCTTTGCAGTTGTTTATCAGTACCGCATCCTCACCATTTAGCTGCTCTTGTTAGTAACTGTTTACTGACAGTTGTTGGTATGGTGCTTTGAAAATATTGCTGGGCATGGTAGCACACACCTGTAATGCCAAAACTCAGGAGGCTAAGGCAGTAAGACTGTCATGAGTTCGAGGCCACCCTAGAATATATAGTGAGACTCTGTCCAAAATAAATAAAATATGGGATGTGACTATGCATACAAAATGTATGTTCTCAGAAATATCATTTACACCGCGTGTCATGAGATCCTTTGTGTATGTTAGCATTGCTTCTTATTCTGTTAGTAAAAGTGAAGACTATCTGTAATGCTAAAATTATTAATTTTTCAGTTAAACTCCCTTAAGGATGTACTAAATTACAAATCAGTATGAATTCTCCACTAATCACATAAATTGAGTGCTCTTACACAGTACAGAAAAGTGAATGAAACAGCTTTCAGGATTTAGCTCAGAGGTAGAGCACTTGCCTAGCAAGTGCAAGGCCCTGCATTTGATCCTCGGCACCAAAATAATTTTTTTTAATTTTTAAAAAAGTAGTTCTTTAGAAAGATTTTGCTATACAATCTTCACATAATCTTAGGTAGTCCAATTGAAGACATCTCTAAACTAATTATCTTCAATGTAGCAAATTCTAGTTTAAAAACTATTTTCAAGAAGAATGACAAAAATTCTCCACTGTCAAAAATTGATAAAGTAATGTTCAAGGATTCTGAATTTTTAAAAAATTTTTGAATTTCATACAAAACCAATGTACAGTTTATGATGTTTTGAAAAGGCTCAGTACTGTTATCATGGGTTTCAAATGGCATACCAGACATGTAAAAATACTCCAATTTTCCCAGTGAGTACAGGTGTGATTTAAAATAAGAACTACAAACATAATATAAATGGGAACTTTATCAATTAAAGTATGATTTTACAAGTTTCATTCAATCTGACTTTCATACCTAAATTGTGATTTAATATTGGCATACTGACATTACTATATGTTGTTTCAGTGTTGTGAAACTGCCTAATCATCAGAAGAAAAAGAAAAAATAGTGCCTGATATGGATTGTGCTGATGTGTATAAACTAAAATGAAAAGTATAAGCTTTTTATTTTGTTATGCATCTACCTATTCACAATTAACACCTAGCTTTCAACAAGTAACACGGAAGTATTCACTTCAGAAATACTAGATAATTAAGTACTTTAACATAGTACCTCATTCCTCAGTCAATTAATATATGTGTTAAGATTAATGAAACCAGGCTGTTACATGAATTTTTAATATAAAGTGTGAAAACATTAATAAATGAGCAATTTGAATTTGAAGGCCAAGGGCCGAGTATAATTGTGTCTGTCTGGGTGGGGGTTCAATTCGTGGGTGAGGCTTAGCTATGGGGTAAAGGACTGCAGCTGCTTCAAAATTAAAAAAGATTTCATTTCTAATATCATTTCCCTAGCAATCAAATTTATATTGCCAGGAATTCTTTCCCAGCCCACTGCAAATGAATTTGAGTAAAAATCTGCCATATCCAAATATTTCTTAGTAGCAAAAAACAGTAGTCATAATAACTAAAATCTCTTGGTTCCATGAATGATCTATGAAAGTGACCTAGAAATGCTAAGTAGAAATGCTAAAGAAAAAGGTCAATCATAATTTCTTAGAATAAAATAATTTCTTATAATAATAAGGGTTTGTAAAATTTTAAAATAACTAAATATATTAAATATTATATGTATATAACCTCATAAAAAATGTTTTTAGGTACTATTAACTTCATAGTTTTCAAATGAAAAAACTAGAGCACAGAGAAGTTAAGGCAGAAGTCACTTAGCAAGTTAAATTGAGGAGGCAGAATTGAAAATCAATGAGTCATCTCTGGAACCTGTCTCCGAAGCCAATCATGTAAACTTTTACTAAAAAATACTATATCAACAAAGTACTTCTTTTAAAAATCTGGAACCTTATCATGAGCTTTTTATGTTGTGTCAGATTATTAAACAGAAACCATCTCCAGATATACTGAACATCACTTTTCAAATAAATGCATAATTCTAGACATATAAAAAGTAAATTCACATTGAGCTATCATTACATACCCAATGGAATGCCTACAGTCCAAAAGATGAACTATATGTCTAAAATTCAAATGACGCTTCCAAATGTTCACAAGAATGTGAAGAAACTGGAAACCTTATATATGGTTTATGTTAATATATAATATCTGGCCACTTTGGAAAGTAGTTTTGCAGCTTCTTGAAATTTAAACACAAATTCACCAACAATCCAATTCTATTTGTAGAAATTCACCTTATAATAAATTAAAACCTAAGTCCAAAACAATTTTGAAGTGGAAGTTCATAGCACCATAACTCATATGGCTAAAATGAGAAATAATCCAAATATTCATTAATTAGAATCAATTAATTTGGTATATCCATGCCAGAAAAAGTAAGGACATGTGACAAATTTATAGTCCAAAAAAAGATTATTATTTGCCTAGG